GTCGTTTGGGTTGATCTGGCCTTGGCTTGGCTTCTTGTGGGAGTGGCTTCTTATAGCAGGCGAGCTGAACATCCAGTCTTACTGCTGCCTGGTAGCATTCTTGCAGCTGATTAGGAACTGCTCGATAGATACAGGCCTTGGAGAGGTGGTCGTCTAGTCTCTCCTTGAAGTGATAGACTAGGGATTGCTCGGGCCACCTCTCTATTCGGCCGGCTATCTTGCAAAACTCTCATACGTATTCCATTGCAGGCCCACCGGCTTGCTTTATCTTGTGGACTTGCTCCTCCGCTTTGAGGGCAATGGATGGGTCCTCGAACCTTGCTCTCAGTCAGAAGAGATGGGGGTCCTCCAGCTCGGGTGCTTCCCCTTCCAAGCTGGAAGCAACCACGTCGACCATAGTGGCTGGGTTCGGGTAGAAATAGGCACAGTGGTTCAAGTGAGAGCGCACCTGGTTGAGGAAAAAGATCAGCTTCTTCGGGTCCCTATCGAAGGTTGCTCTAAGAGGTGGCGCCATCAGTGGTTGCTGGCCTCCCCACTGTGGGGAGATCTCAGCATGGAGAAGGAAGGAGTGCCTGAAACCAGCACCCCGGAATCTTTGTTGGTCTATCCCTCAATTCTAGGGACAGCGACTGGGGCTCGGGACTCCAAGATAGTTAGGTAAAAATTGGAGTTTTTGGCTTAATGTCATGGTTCCGACAGATGAATCTCTTCAAAAGAACTTCGAGGCATTGTTTTCCTTAAAGAATCTTTTATTCGAGAAACAAAATATCGGCACTACATAGTTGAAGCCAAAAACTGAATTCCCCTCCCCTGGCACAAAGTAGCAAAGTGTAATTCCCTCCTCCAATTAACAGTCATAAATCACATTCCCCAATTAACTTGAAGCGCGGGCTTTCTCCCCATCTCTCCTGCCCGCCAAATTTCTATCAACTCTGGACCTAATAACCTTGGGTTCCCACGGCTGAGTTATTATTGTTATGACTAGCTGGACTCTCATTGACATTCCCCCTCCCAGCATCAACAAACTCTAAAAGCGATAGAGAAAAGATGGCTACATTTCCATCTGTTGTCAAAGCAAGAACATCCGATGTTAGCAGCATTGACACCTTCCACATTAAACATTCTTAAAACAGTAAGATAACATTATATTTAGTTGGTCTCAATTATTGACTGAGTCTAGATCCAGTTAGTTTGCATTGGCTTAATCACCATATTTAAAAAGATTCTAAGGGAAAATAATGGAGGCCTACGATGGTATTATTTAACTAACAACTAACTAAAGCAATGGCTACAGCATATAATTATCTACATTTATTTATTTATTTATCTATTTATTAAATTCATTTATATCTATAATAACTTTGATGGAAAAGTAATTTAAAATCAAATTTCATCTCTGGAAACATCAGTTCAAAAAGGATCACTAACCTGCACTGGTGGCCTAAAATAAGTGAATATTATTTTATAGAATCATAAAACTGGAGGAGGAATAGTGCGGGAATTTAAATTAAAGCATCTCCAATAAGAGTCTGCGAGCCAGTTTAGTGTTGTGTTTAAGGCACCAGGCTTGAAAACAGGAGTCTGTGAGTTCTAGTTCTGCCTTAGGCACTAAGCCGGCTGGGTGACCTTGAGCCAGGCACTCTATCTCTCAGCCCTTGGAAGAAGGCAAAGCACAAACCAATTCTGAATATCTTTTGAAGAAAACTCCAGGGACTACACCAGGCAGTTACCAGAGTCAATATATGTCAGAACTGCCACCTCACACCAGTCTGCCATGAACCCTGAGGGGAATGTGAGAGGGAGGGGGAGTGCTTGGGGGGAAAAGTGAAAGTTACAAAAGTGAAGGTGCCTCTCTGAGACAGCGTTACAAGGTCGCCTCGGGATGAGAAGAATGCGAACCAGCCTACAATCAAGAGTGGCCGTTTCAAAAACATATTTGAGATTGATTGGACGATGGGTGTGTGTGTGCAGCAATGGGAATTGCCTAAGGGAGAAAGGTTTTCACTTGGGGAACTGGCAAAGTTCTGGCTTTGCTTTACTGCAGTTCACTTGACTTCTAATAAAACTGTACCTTTTGCAACAAATGGAGTCAAGGATCATTTTTACTTAAAAGTGCAAGCTGAGGCAGGGTTAACAATATATAACCAAATATGCATACAGAAAGATTATGTCAGCCTTTGGTGAAACAGTTGTAACTTATGTTTATAAGTACCATATTAATATCTATATACTACTAAAACTCTTGTGTCTGTTTGATATTTTGAAACCTTCAACTGGGCAAAATGGTGCATCATACATTTTTGAATCAACATACCTCAAATGGGCTAACTTACAGAATGTGTCCAAAATCCAGGACCCATCACTCCTGTGGGATTGAAATTTAGCAAAATTGTAGCCACTTCAGCGGCACCATGCCTTCTAACTACTATTCCTAGAAACCCATAAGTTGTGTGGCACAAGGGAAGATGAGAGGGCATATCCCCACCCTCTTTCCCACCTCCCTTTGGCCACTGCACCCAATTGTCTGGCAGCAAGGCCCATTGGGTGAGTGGCCATTAGCTGCTTTGGAACTGAGGCCAAAATCTGAAATCTCTTTAACTGTGATGGCTGGTGAGGGAAGAACAAGGGAGCAACTTGGATGCCTGTTGGCAAGGTAGGGGTGGCACTGACGGTCGACAGTTGAGCCATCTTCTGCCCTGGAATGAGGGGGCCCTTGGGCTCATACTGGAATGAGTGGGGGTGCAGTTTTCCTCATGGTCCATGGCTCCCTTTATTCCAACAAAGTGGCAGGCAATTCTGCAGGTCAGTCTAGTGAGCAGAAGAGGCGGCGGCTTCACTGGGGTTCTCCTAAGGCTCATGAGGGGAAGGAAAATGGTGCAAGTCTACATTATATGTGGTAAGAGAAAGGAAGAAAAAAGGGCAACTTGGATACCTACTAGTAAGGTTGGACTGGCTGGGGGGCACCAGTAGTGGAAGGGTGAGCCCTCTACCTCCCTGGATGTAGGGGGACCTTGGGGATGGTGGTACAGTTTTCCTTATAGTCCGCAGCTCCCTTGGTTCCCCGTGCCCCAAGCAAAGGGGCAAGCAGTTGTGTGCGTCAGTATAGGAGATGGTGGTGGCAGCTTTATTGGGGATCTTCTGAGGGTCGTGAGGGGAGGGGAATCAGCGCACGCCTATATACGTGGAAAAATGAATGACCCAACAGGACATGGGTTGTCTAGCATCAAAATAAAAGTATAAAATGAAATTTATCTTAAAGGAAGTTAATGAACCTAAATAAAAAGAATTTATATTAAGCATCTTTTTTAATTCCTGAGAAATATGTTCAAATAAACATAACAAGAATGCTAGCAATTCTGCTTCCAGTGATATGGCCGACAACTGACACGCCCAGAGAATCTCCTCTCTCTGGACTGTCGTTTTTCCAACTTAACAATAGAAGGAACAGACCACTAGAGGGAGCTATGAAGATGCTTAATTCTGAGCTCAAGTCAGTCATCAGGGAAGTCTTTGAAAGCTCCATACAGAAAATCATTTATACCATAAATCAGCTAGGGACTAAAGAAACAAAGCATACAGATGATATTAAAAAAGAACAAGAGACACAAATAGGTGTAGAAAATTATCAACCCATTGTGACAACTCCACAAATACTGGACAATGCAAATAACTGTAACCTTGGAATATAAATCTGACACCAGCTTTTATGATAATGGTTTGACTATAACCCTCCCAGTGCAATTGAAACAAGAGTGCCAAGTAAATCCACAACTTTTAAGTGGTCAAGTTTCGGATTTTTTCTTCATGGATACTAACAAGGTTGAGAATCCTTTGAGAAAAAAAGATATGATAGACCCTCAGAGAAGATTTTATTCTATGAGGAAGTGCTCTAAGTTAATCTACAACTTTTAACAGAACAACTTTGGGACTTTTTTTCATGGATATTAACAAGGATGAGAATTTCTTGAAGAAAAGAGACTTGATAGACACTCCTGTGAAGAAAAAGACTTTATTCTAAGAAGATAAGCTGGAGGGAATGACTTAAATTTAATGACTTAGTTAGACAATGAATTTTTATAAGGTTGATATATCTATAGAAAGAAAGCTCTGAGGTAGTTTTGTATTTATAAGTTTGTAAATGTATGTTTTCTGTCCTTCTATGTAATGTTGAATAATCCCCAAAGTTTGTAAAATATTATTGATCAAATTTAAAAATAAGAGAAGAAAAAGATTTTACTCCATGAGGATAAACTTGAGGGAGAGATTTCAATCCAATGAGCTACTCGGAGTTAATTGGATTTTTATTGGTGTGATATATATATAATTGAATGTAAGCTTTAATGTAGTTTTGTGTTTTGGGTTTAAAATGAAGGGTTTTTTTCTCTCTTTACATATAATATTTGAGTAATTTTTAAAGTTTGTAAAATATAAAAAACTAGAAAAAGTGTTTTCTCCCTTTAGGGTTAAAAAATTTGAAATAATATAGGAAATTCTTTTAATATAAATTATGACAGTTTATTAAGATTAATGAGTAAACAGAAGTATATACTATTCCCCACAGCAAGGAGAAGCAGATATGGTTAAATTGACTCTTTTATCCAAAGAAGAGAATATATTTAATTTTGTTTCTATTTGGAAATTGCTTCCAGATTTTGTGCTTGCAATGGGAAAAAAATGAAACTTTGATTTTGTTTTTGTTGATTAGATAGGTTTGTTGCTATAGAAATGGCTAGTATATACTGTTGTGTAAAAGTAAAAAGTTGAGGTTGTAATGTTATCTTCTACTGTGCTAAAGAGAGTTGGAAGTCGGTGCCTTTTTCTTTCCTTTTCCCTCTTTACACCATATTTTCTCTCTTTTTCTTTTTCCCTCCCCCCAGTTTCCTTTTACTTTTTAAAATGTCTCTTTGTATTTTATATTTCGATAAACTAATAAAAATGTATTGTAAAAAAAAAAGAATGCTAGCAATTCAGTTTAGTAATTTTGAAAAGTTAGTTCTTACCAAAGACTCTTTCATCATTGATATTTCTGATGCAGAACCACAGGCCTGCTGGGAAAGTACAGACGAGAATATGTAGATCAAAAAAGAAGGAAACCCAAGTTGTAGGCTGATGCTCAGACACTGAGGCAATGATCGGGATGTGAATTTTTGCATACCTTGTTTAAAAGAAATTCAGTTCAAATTATTTTAGAGTGATGAAACTCTAGTAATAAAAAACAGTACACCTGAGAATTACTGGTTTTTTTTGGGGGGGGGATTATATACACCATGTCTTTAAACACCAGTCATATCCTTGTCTTTTCAAGGTTAGTTTAAGGGAGGGGGTTGCATCTGAGTGTGTCCCCCCCATTGCTTCAGTTAAGTTTTAGAAACTGGGAAAAAGTTGTTCTCGTTACAAAAATACCGTTGGCCTCCTTGTCAGAATGTGTTCAAATGCATCCATTTAGTCAAAGAATGAGAACAATGGCATGACATAAATATCAAAGTGTTCTTCTGCATATTCATCTCATAAACTATACTATTTATTGTTATACAAGTTATTTAACACATTACATTCATATTCTATTCAGTGAAGTATCATGTTACCTTCTCCTTTAACATGTATATATTAATACAATGAATTATAAAAAGGGCACATTATACAATATTAAATATAAATTCAACATTAATCATAAATAAATTATAGAAGATGAATCCAAAGACGGAATATAAGAAATCAAACTAAACAACAGCGTCTTTTTTAAAAAAGTAAAGGCTCCTTTACTGCAATAAGAAAAATTATTGACACTAATGGAAGTTTTAAAGTTTCTTTCAGTGTAGACAGTAAAAAGCTCTTATTTATGTTCAAAAGATTTTGTTCTTTTTTGGGAGAGAGATGGAGCCGTAGTAGGTGGCCTAGCTGTTTTCCACTGACAGGTCTAACGGTGTGTAATTTTATTTTATATTCATGCTTACCCAGTATCCCATAATGAATAGAATCTGCCACTCCATGGTGCAATGTAACCTGAAAATACACATTATAGCTATTTAACATAGCCACCGAGCATATATACCTATTACTCTCAAAACCTTCAAAATAAACTCTTCTCTCAATCTGCCTTAAAAAAAGACTTATCTCCAACCCTACTTTTAAAATAATTCCCTCAGTCCACCTCTAAAGTAAATTGTTCCTTTTTCATGTACCAATATTTATTTTTACTGACTAACTGAACCAGACATGTCAAACTCGCGACGTCATGTGACGTCGCGCAACGTATCGGGATGGTTTTGCCATTGCCGGCAATGGGGTGGGCATGGCTTCCGGATGACGCGTCTGGCCTGCGGGCTGGCAGTTTGACACCCCTGGACTGAACCATCTTGGCTGCACAACCAATTACAAAATTCTCTGACAATGAAAGCTAGAGCTTCTGTTGGTGACAGATGCTTTAATAGTCATAATCAGGGATTAGAAAAAAGTTTTGAGATTGGAATTGAAGGAGGACATTACAGGGTCTGCAGCAGGAAAAAGCAGAAATTAGAACAAATAAAAAAGACAAATAGCAAAAAAGGTGGCAGGCAGGGCTCTGGATTATACAGTGGGTGTAGAAAGTCTACATACCCCTGTTAAAATGCCAGGTTTTTGAGATGTAAAAAAATCAGACCAAGATAAATTACTTCAGAATTCTTTCCACATTTAATATAACACATAAGCTGTATAAATCAACTGAAAAACAACCTGAAATCTTTTAAGGGGAAAAACAACAATAAAAACATACAATAAGTTGCATAAGTGTGCACACCCTCTTATAAGTAGGGGGTGTGGCTTTGTTCTGAATTAACCAATCATATTCAAACTGATGTTAAAAAAACTAGTAGTCAGTACACACCTGCCATCAATTAAAGTGACTCTAATCAAGCCCATATAAAGTTCAGCTGTTCTAGTAGGAGTTTTCTGACATTTACTCGCTTGCCTCTTACAGCAAAAGCTATGGTCTGCAAAGAGCTTACAAAGCATCAAAGGGATCTCATCGTTGGAAGGTATCAGTCAGGAGAAGGGTACAAAAAAATTCTTAGGCATTGGATATACTATGGAAGACAGTGAAGACAGACATTAACAACTGGAGAAACTATGGCACAATAGTGACATTACCAAGAACTGGGTGTCCCTCCAAAATTGATGAAAAAACAAGAAGAAAACTGGTCCTAGAGGCTGCCAAGAGGCCTACAGCAACACTAAAGGAGCTGCAGGAATTTCTGGCAAGTACTGGTTGTGTACTACATGTGACAACAATCTCCCATACTCTTCATATGTCTGGGCTGTGGGGTAGGGTGATGGACGGAAGCCTTTTCTTACAAAGAAAAACATCCAAGCCCAGCTACATTTTGCAAAAACCTACATCAAGTCTGACAAAAGCATGTAGGAAAATTTGTTATGGTCAGATGAGACCAAGGTTGAATGTCAATGTCAGATTCAGGTAGTTCAAATGAGTATAAAGATTTATTGCAAGCTTAAGTTCTCTACAACAGGGCTTTTCAACCTTTTCACCCATTGTACCACTTTTAGGATATGGCAACATCCGAGTACAAATAGATTAATGCAATTGTTGAGCCAATTGATTCATACTGATCAATCTGGATTTATAACTGGAAGATACATGAAATATAATGTAAGACAAATTATTAACTTAATTGAATATTTGGATAAGAACAATCATATTCCTGCTGCTTTTATATTTTTAGATGCTGAAAAAGCATTTGATCAATTAGACTGGGTTTTTTTGTTTCAAGTTATAGATAGAATGAATTTTGGGGAAAAATTTTTGTCCGCCCTTAAGGCTATTTATCAGCAGCAGTCAGCACAGATTATAGTTAATGGGGGGGGGGGGGGTAACAGAAGCATTTAAAATTGAAAAAGGAACTAGACAAGGATGTCCATTATCTCCATTGTTATTTGTGTTAACAATGGAGATTTTGTTTATTAAAATGCGAGAGTCTTCTATAATAAAAGGAATTAAGGTTAATAAGATTGATTATAGATTTAGAGCTTTTGCAGATGATTTAGTGTTAACATTAACTCAGCCAATAGAATCGGTAATTGACTTGGTTGAAATTATTGCACAATATGGGAAGGTTTCTGGTTTTAAGGTTAACTGTAATAAGACTAAAATATTACCGAAAAATATGTCTATGAATGATAAAGATATGTTAGTTACGTTTACAGGTTTTGAAATGGTTAAAAAGGTAAAATATTTGGGAGTTTATATTACAGCTTCTAATGTTGAATTGTATAAGAATAATTATGAGCTTTTATGGGTTAAGATTCAAAAAGATTTAAATGATTGGAAAAAATTGCAATTATCTTTGTTGGGGAGAATTTCAGCAGTAAAAATGAATATTCTTCCAAAGTTTCTTTTTTTGTTTCAAATGATCCCTATTTTAAAAAAAGATGCTAATTTGGAGGACTGGCAGAAGGGTATTAATAAGTTCATTTGGGCGGGCAAGAAGCCAAGAGTTAAGTTTAAGATTATGCAAGATATAAGGGAACGAGGAGGACTTAAAGCCCCTAATTTAAAATTGTATTATGATGCGGTGGTTTTGACATGGATTAGTGATTGGTTAAATTTAACAAATAAGAATATACTTTCTCTTGAAGGATGGGATCTATTATTTGGTTGGCAGGCATATTTAATCTATGATAAAAAGGTAGATACAAATTTTAAGGTCCATATCTTAAGGAGTGCTCTATTGAGAGTTTGGAAGAAATATTATTATAAATTAAATTACAAAATTCCTATCTGGGCAACTCCAGGACAGGTAGCACTGATCCTGACGCTTCTGCTGAGCCCAGAAGAAGCACCAATCAGCTGGAAAGCAGCACTGATCCTGGTGCTTCTGCTGAGCCCAGAAGAAGCACCAATCAGCTGGAAAGCAGCACTGATCCTGGTGCTTCTGCTGAGCCCAGAAGAAGCACCAATCAGCTGGAATGTTGCAGCATCTCCAGGGTCTTGTGATTTACATTCAGATGCTTGGCAACCGATTCATATTTATGACGGTCAGAGTGTCCCAGGGTCATGTGAAGTGACCAAAACCTGCTGCAACCACCCAGCAGACAGGGGGAATAAAAACCAAACACCCCCCCACCCCACCCCCGCTGCCAATCCTCAACAGAAATGCTCACAACAATGGAAACCTCGGACAGGAGGAAGAGTGCGGCCGGGTGGGCAGGCAGGAGTCTTGCTCGGCTGTGGCTTGGGGGGCACCTTTTTCAGTGCCATTGTAACTTCGAACAGTCACTAAGCGAACTGTTGTAAGTCGAGGACTACCTGTACTTTTATCACTTTTTTCCTTTTTTTTTTTTTTGGGTCATCAGGTTTTTGACACCTTGCTAGGCGACTGGTGGTACTCGGATGTTGCCATATCGTAAAAGTGGTACAATGGGTGAAAAGGTTGAAAAGCCCTGTCCTACAGTATGTGAACTTTTGCCTTCCAGTTCTTTAAAGCATTTTAACATTGTTTCTCTTCAATAAAATCTTGTATGTTTCTTATGCAGCATCTACTAATAGTTCCAAAGACACTGTACTATCCAAAATGATTATTGTATGAATAGAGGTTGGCATAAAATAGTTTTGAACCCAGGAGCATATTCCATCATATTCCTGATATTTTGCCAAACTGTTTCAGGCCAGCCATAGTTTTGCAGAAATGAATTGGACAAGGCTCATGCACATCACTCTGCCTGTCCCTTCTTCTGCTCCCACTACAGCATATCCACTGGTCCAAATGCTTCCCACATTCCCAGCATCCTTCCTTACACCCCTCAATCACCAACTCTGTTCCAGTACAACATACTGTATATCATTGGCTCGTTTACCCCTCCGCCATCTTCCCAGCCCCTTCCTTCCCTCCTCATAGCTGCTGACTCAAGCATGGCATAGGCCACAGCCATTTGCCATCATCTGTCAGGCTCAAGCAGCCAGAGCCACTTGAAAATACCGTGTTTCCCCGAAAATAAGACCTACCTTGATTTTTGGGGATGGGCCTAATATAAGCCCTACCCCCAAAATAAGCCCTAGTTACGACCCCGCCTACTCCGTCCCACCTCGCTGCTGCGATGGGGCTGGAGAGCGCATGTCGCGCCGCTGCCACAACGCGGGAAGGCAAGTAGGGGAGGGAGTGGAGCTGCCCCACGTGCCCTGCACCCACTTACTTCAGGACACCCCAGCCAGGCCATTCCTTGCTCGGCGACCTTCCCTTTCACTCTCCTCCCGAGCCGGACTGCCATGCTACGGAGGATGGGCAGGGTAGGCCCGGTCCCCCTCCGCCGTTTTGAAGAGGGGGGGAGTGACAGTGAAAGGTTCCGCTGCTACTGTGCGGCGCTGGAGGGGCTTTCTTCACGCTTCGCCCCATAGATCACCTGCCCGGCAGCAGCTGCTGCGCCCTTCTCTACCAATCGTGGCTTGCGCTGTGACCGGGCGGCGCAAGCCTCCCCTGCCGCCTCCCTCCGCCAGCCCATTGCCGCCACTGGAGAGAACAGGGAGGGGAGCAGCTCCACGCAGCAATGCAGAGCAGAGCACTTGCTTGCCGTCCTGCATCACCCCGCGTCTCCCTTCTCCGTTCTGGAAATGGCAGCCCTGTTTCCTGCCACTTCTCCTCCTGGTGCTGCTGTAGAGTTTGGCGCACCACCGCCCAGCTCCTCTCTCTTCTTGAAAGCATTTCTTCACTAACCTGAGCCCAGCTCCTCTCTCTTCTTGAAAGCATTTCTTCACTAACCTGCTTTCCAGCTCTGGCACATTTCTCTCCTGCTGCAGGGAAACGAAGTTTGTGGGACTAAAAAAAGTTCAGTCAGACCTTCCAACTTCACGAGATCTTTTTTTTTTCCACGAGAAGGGCGGCAAGCAAATGCTCTTTTCTGCTTTGCTGCGCAGAGCCGCTCCCCTCCCCGTTCTCTCCAGTGGCGGCGACAGAGGGCTGGCAGAGGGAGGTGGCAGGGGAGGCTTGCACCGCCTGGTTACGGTGCAAGCCACG